ATTGTTATGAAACTCTTGGTCAGCCCTAATACATAATAAAAGAAGATTTTTAAAGGTTGTCTTCTTTAAGATAGCCACTCAACTTACCCAAATTAGCTTAACCTAAGTTATGTAATCCTCAAATACCTTTCTTTAACCACAAAATCCAACCAAGCCAATAAACCCTAAAGTGGAAATTCTTATATTTCACTTCCAAGTCCTTGCCTCCATCAACTAAACCCCTTCATTACATAACATCTCTTTCTTTTAAGGCATCTTAATCATTAACCCTCCTACTCCTACTCTCAAGCCCTTTAGTTCCTTAATTATAACCCTAGGTATTTAAGCTTGTAATTATAGTTTTGATGATGATAAATATAATTTCATATGCAATGATTTGTTTTGCTAAAGTTAGTGTGAGAGTGAAATAAAAGCTCTTGGCTAAGCTTAAATTTATTAATCATGATTAATGACATATTAAACTATATTTATTACTTATGTAAAGTTAATGGTCGTAGGATCACTTTGCATTAATTGATAAATATAAAATTTTAATTAACCATATACACCGTATAATATGTATATTCTAATTTAATTTTGATTATTGCATTTTTTGAAATAAATAAATAAAGAATTATAATCAAAATTCAAATTGATCAAACCGTATGATCATCATTGTGTAATATGACAAACTAAAAATTTGAATTTTATATTCACATCAAATTTAATTACATGTTGTGATTGATTAAGGTGATTATTTTGGAAAAAAAAGTGATTATTTTGGAAAAAAAAATATAAAATCTAATTTTTATTAAAAATCTATTAAAAAATATTTGATATTTAAGAATTTAGTTGATAAATATTTTTATGTAAAATCATATTTATTGCAATCCATGACCCCTAGTTTGAGATTTTGATGATGACAAATAATGTCGTCTGAATTACTATTTATTGAATACCTTTGATTTATGCTATTGTCTATGAGTACTAACATTTCAGGAAGATCACAAGTTACTTAGAACAACAAGAAGACTCAAGACTGGGTAAAGTAGGAGTGTGAGTTTATAACATTGTAATTTTTCATTTACTTTAATTTTTTTCTTTTATTGAGTCTAACCACAAATTGCATATAAGACTGAGCAACCATGCACATACACAGGGGGAGAAGGTTTTAAAAACGAAAATATTTTTTTTCTCTATTGATCATACTGTACCAGTTTATATCATACTGTACGATCTAATCTAACTGAAACAACTATTTGTGAATAAGTCGACTGTACGATGTGTTACTAATCAAAAATCCTGGCCGCCAGATTAATTTAAGTAAGTTTAATAGTCATTCTTACTGTACGAACCTATTCATACTGTATGATTTATTTTGAATACTTACTTAAATTAACCATGTGATTAGTGGATAAATCAAGGATTAATTTCTGATTGGTTATCATACTGTACGATATCGTTCGTACTGTATGATCAACCGAGTCTGTTTTCGATCGTTCCGGACTTCATACTGGACGATCTCTTGATTTTGACTAATCGTACTGTATGAAGTAATTCGTACCCTATGATGTACATAGATGAGTTTCGATCATCCCAGCAATCGTCCTATACAAATAAAAGAGTTTTACAAATCATATTGTACGAGTTTATATCGTACTGTATGATTGTATTCAGAATTTTTGACTTGTTCATAAACCTTCGTACCAGGATAAAACCCATTTTTTACTAATCGTAATGTACAATATTGGATCATACTGTATGATAGTAACGGCTAATTGGAGAATTTTAGGGTTTTTTGGAGCCCGTTTTAAGTATCAAAACTTCTATTTTTTTAGGGTGACTATGAGAGAGGAATGTGATTAGAGAGGGATTCCTTGGGAGAGAGCTCTTGAGAAGATTTTAGGGTTTGTGAGAGGAAGGAGAAGGTGGGCTTGGTGAGGGAGAAGGAGTGTGAGGGATCACACAGTTGCTCCGAGCTTGCTGCACTTTGCTCCTCCTGTGGCCCGAGAAGATCTTGTGGGAGGCTCTCTGAGGGGGAGACTCTTATACATCTTTGTCCTCTAAGGTACTCTGCCTTCTCCAGGAAGGAGAAAAATGAGAAGGTATGCTACCGTCGCCAGGAGGGTAATAAAGCACTTGGCACTCCGCCACATCGGGTTGGTGAAAGTGATGTTTGTAAGGGCTTCTTCGCCTTGCCGTGGGGGCAAAAGGAGAACTATTATTTAGTAGTGAAATTTTTGGAGTGGAGGACTCCAAGGAGTGGACGTAGGTCAAGTGACCGAACCACTATAAAATCTCTGGTGTGATTTTTCCTTTATTGCTTTTATTTTTGTTTGCATTTTATTTTCATTATAATTACTTGGTGAAAATCGTTGTGAAATTGGTTGTTGCATTTTGTGTTCAAGTACTCGCTTTTGCATTATTTAGATTTTTTTTGTTTAAAATTTAAATACACAAAAAAAAATAGAACTGTTTAGGATTTTTTATTGCAACAATTTTTCGCAATTCACCCCCCTATTGGCTCATCTTGTAATTTCAATTGGTATCAGAGCAGTATTTCAAAATTAGCATTTTAGAAAACCTTGAAAATTGATCATGTATCATTTTGATAATCATAATACCACGGAGGATTATTCAATAACCCGTCCACCTTTTTTTGACAATATCCCGTTTGATTTATGGAAAATTAGAATGTCTACTTTCTTACAGTCTATTGACTATCACATGTGGATGTTGGTTAATGATGGTTACATTGCACTGTTTAAAATTATGAATGGAGTGAAAACTCAAGTATCTTTTAATGAATGGAGCAATGAGGAAAGGGATTTGGCTCAATTAAATGAGAAGTTCTTAAATTGTTTCTTTTATGCTTTAAAATCTAAGGACTACATGAGAGTTTCTACATGTGCTACTATTAAGGAGATTTGTGATAGACTGTGCATCACGTACGAAGGAACTATTGAAGTTAAACAGTCTAGGCTTAACATTTTATTGTATGATTATGAAATCTTTCGTATGAAACCTAGCGAAATAATATATTACATGTACACTAGGTTCACCCAAATCGTGACATCCTTGCATGCATTAGGTAGAGAAATTTCAAATTGTTGACCTCGATTTTTGTTCGAGTGCCCTCGAGTGTATTCGATCAATTCGATTGAACCTCGTCGAGCCCAATTCGTGCTAGAATGGACTCTAATTGAGTCGGATTAGACTCGACCGTGTTCATTCAAGCCCGAACAGTTTGTTTTGACCGCGACGAGTTCAATTTGAACCAAATCAATTTCAATTTGAGTTTAAGTTTATTTATTAAATTAATCAAGCCTAATCCGCTTTTAAATCAAGCCAATTTGGGTCAAATTCACATCCAAACCCAACTCAAATCAGCCTAGACCAATTCTAATTAAATTCCAAGTTACTTTTTTTAATCAATTTGAGGCTTCGTTTGGGACGGCTTTTTTATTGCTTTTTAAAACGAAGTTTTAGTATAAAAATAAAACAAAGAAATCAATAAAAAAACTGTCCCACAGAAGCCTGAATCTCATACCAAATCGGAAAATAGATTGGATGACTTGAATCAAATGGGTTGTTTATTCGAGGTTTCAGAGTGATATCTGCATTCTTTGATAGACATGGAAATATGCCTATTTGCATGATGTTTGGAAGATTGGAGCATGGGACGACGGAGGGCGGGCTACCTCTCTTGACGCTAGCGTGCCTTTACTCTAGGCGAAGACCCCAGGCGTGGAGGAGCTCTAATTCGGACTCCAAGAATCAAGCATTGAGATTTTCTCCTCCAGTTCTCACGGTCTCTTCCCTCTCAGCCCCTTCTCTATTTTTTTTTGTGAATCTACCACTCTTGCTCTCTCTGGCGTGAGTCCAGGTGAGCCCAAACGCCTCCCTCCCGGTCTGTCTCCCCCTTTGCTCCAGGCAATTTCCTCCCCATTCATGCGACCCAAAGCCTGACGCCCTCCGCCTCTCCCTGCTCGTGTGACCTAGCCCTGGCTAAACTTGTTCGCGCCCCCAGCCCTCGACGCCGACTTTTTCCTTCCTCTCTATAGGTGATTTCCTTTTCTTGTCCTACTTCCTCTTCTTTATCCATTGTTTACTTTTCATTTTCTTGTCTATTCTTCCTCTTGTTCTTTCACTTCTTTCACTCTTAATGAAAGTTAAAAAAAAACTTGAGAGCATTTCTATGCCTTGTTTTGTCTAAAGTCTTTGGAAGCCATGAGGCTCCTCGTGATAGACCTTATTTTCTTGAGATTAGAGTTGAAGCTTGCTCTTTACTTTCTCTTTGGTGTGGGAGGGTGCAGATCTTTCCCAATTGCTATTGTAATTTCATGGCATAAATCCATATCCTTCCTTTATAACATTCTTCATGCAGAATTCCGTGGAGTTGTTAAGATGACTTTAGTTTGTATTTAAATGTCGACCGAAGCTATTAACTACTTAATTCTTATGAAAGTTTTTCTTATATATTACTTGTTTGGTTGTTCGAAATTTGAAGTGTTTTGAATTACAACAAAGCTTGCTAGATTTCTCTTTTTGATTAAACGCAGTTAGAAATGAGGTTGAATTTGATTAAGAAATGGTATCGATTTTTGTTCGAGTGCCCTCGAGTGTATTTGATCAATTCGATTGAACCTCGTCGAGCCCAATTCGAGCTCGAATGGACTCTAATTGAGTCGAATAAGACTCGACCGTGTTCATTCAAGCCCGAACAGTTTGTTTTGACCGCGACGAGTTCAATTTGTCCCAAATCAATTTCAATTTGAGTTTAAGTTTGTTTATTAAATTAATCAAGCCTAATCCGCTTTTAAATCAAGCCAATTTGGGTCAAATTCACATCCAAACCCAACTCAAATCAGCCTAGACCAATTCTAATTAAATTCCAAGTTACTTTTTTTAATCAATTTGAGGCTTAGTTTGAGACGGCTTTTTATTGATTTCTAAAACTCTAACAGAGTTTTAGTAAAAATTAAAACAAAAAAATCAATAAAAAAACTGTCCCACGAAGCCTGAATCTCATACCAAATCGGAAAATAGATTGGATGACTTGAATCAAATGGGTTGTTTATTCGAGGTTTCAGAGTGATATCTGCATTCTTTGATAGACATGAAAATATGCCCATTTGCATGATGTTTGGAAGATTGGAGCATGGGACGACGGAGGGCAGGCTACCTCTCTTGACGCTAGCGTGCCTTTACTCTAGGCGAAGACCCCAGGCGTGGAGGAGCTCTCATTCGGACTCCGAGAATCAAGCATTGAGATTTTCTCCTCCAGTTCTCACGGTCTCTTCCCTCTCGGCCCCTTCTCTATTTTTTTTTTGTGAATCTACCACTCTTGCTCTCTCTGGCGTGAGTCCAGGTGAGCCCTAACGCCTCCCTCCCGGTCTGTCTCCCCCTTTGCTCCAGGCAATTTCCTCCCCATTCATGCGACCCAAAGCCTGACGCCCTCCGCCTCTCCCTGCTCGTGTGACCCAGCCCTCGACGCCGACTTTTTCCTTCCTCTCTATAGGTGATTTCCTTTTCTTCTCCTATTTCCTCTTCTTTATCCATTGTTTACTTTTCATTTTCTTGTCTATTCTTCCTCTTGTTCTTTCACTTCTTTCACTCTTAATGAAAGTTAAAAAAAAACTTGAGAGCATTTCTATGCCTTGTTTTGTCTAAAGTCTTTGGAAGCCATGAGGCTCCTCGTGATAGACCTTATTTTCTTGAGATTAGAGTTGAAGCTTGCTCTTTACTTTCTCTTTGGTGTGGGAGGGTGCAGATCTTTCCCAATTGCTATTGTAATTTCATGGCATAAATCCCTATCCTTCCTTTATAACATTCTTCATGCAGAATTCCGTGGAGTTGTTAAGATGACTTTAGTTTGTATTTAAATGTCGACCGAAGCTATTAACTACTTAATTCTTATGAAAGTTTTTCTTATATATTACTTGTTTGGTTGTTCGAAATTTGAAGTGTTTTGAATTACAACAAAGCTTGCTAGGTTTCTCTTTTTGATTAAACGCAGTTAGAAATGAGGTTGAATTTGATTAAGAAATGGTATCGGTTTTCACATGGGTGATTCTCTTATTTATTCTTCCATTATGCACGGAATTATTAGTTGAATTTCTATCTGCATGACGGGGCTCTAAAGGGCATTTGGAAGGTACATTCCTTCTTGAGAATGTTGTGAATGCTGTGTAAAAATGCTTCGTATTTGTTGTTGTTTCATTTCAAAATCTTAATGAGCTTTGGGTAGATTGTGGGAAGTTATGAAGAGCCCATGTTATTCTTTATCAAAATATGCATCTAAAGTGTTTGGTGAAATGTCTTTAAAGAAATATTTTGATATTTGGTTAGTAACTCATGAAGCTTGGGTTTGCATATGAAGCCACTTAACCAAATATTGGGTGACCATATTCAGATATAAAGGTTTCACATGTTTCTCATGAGTTTGGACATATTTATGTTTGCAAAATTCCTCCCAAAATCTCTTTATTGTAGTGTCTAATGCTCTTTTGATTACAAATGTTAGTAATGATTTTTTGATGAGTTTCAAATAATCCTTTTTAAGTATGTATCTAAAGCCTTCATGAGGGCATGTGATTGTGAAGGTTTTTAGCTTCCATAGTGATTTTCTCCATGTGATTTCATAAGTTCTTCACGTGGTTGACAATTTCCTCATGATAAATCTTGGTGGCCTTTGAGCATATTCTTTGGCGTTGCTTTCAACCAAGTGTATGTTTAGAGAATGGTGATGCTTAGGTTTAAAATGAAGCTTTGCTTAAGTTACAATTCATGAATCCTATGATTGATACTTTGTTTATGGTAAATATTAGTGAATCGTATGCAAGATTTTGGTGATATGTTTCAACAAAGCGTGCATATGAACTTTTCATAAGTGAGCGTGGATGCAAAAAGGCTAGTTTTCATGTTGATTCGCTTCAAGTAATTTTTACCCTTCATTGTGTCTATGTCTTATGATGGCCATTGTTCATCTTGTCATAATATATGTTGACTTGTCTTATTTTGGAATGGATAGTTGATGTATGAGCTTTACTTTTGAATCATGTTTTATGGCTTATTAGTTTAAGTGTGGCATGGTAATACATCAAAAAGAAATTGTTCTACATCATCTCTTAGACCTCGCATGCTAGTTGTTTGATCAAATGCCTTAGAGAGGTAGTCTTCTTCTATTACTCCCTTTATTTGGGTATTATTCATGCAAGATTCCAATGCCAAATGGATGTACATTATACAAGCCCAAATGATTATTATTATGGTAATTTTGTTAGCTCTTATTCTATGTGTGTGGAGGGAGCGGGACAAAATGCATATGAGACTATTGGTGATGCATATATTTATATTTCCTTTCTTTTAGGCTCTCTAAAATTACTAGCAAAGTTGATAGTGGTGATGGTTTGTGAGGTCCTTTCCTTTATGCTCATGGAGTAGTTGCCTTTAATTTCTTTCATAAGCATGTATATTTCGTTCTTATTCATGATTAGACTCGCCCCTTGGATGCTATATGTCTATGTTTGGAGAAATTTAAATTTACAAGCATGCTTCAACGTGTTTACTTAGAACTAATGGTTTATACACTCTTGTTAAATTTTATGTCACGAATATCTCAAAATTATCTTTTATTTTGTCATAAAATATAAAATTAGTGTCATTGTTGCTAAACCTTTGGTTTTATATCCTCATTTGCTTAAATATTGTAGTTTGACCATTTGATGAAATGCCCCAAAGAAAAGTTGTAATTGTTTTTCTACATTAAAGACAAAAAACTGCACATGCTTTATGATTGAATTTTAAGAGTTTGTATCTCGAATGCAAGGCTATTAGTTTATGTTGGAAAGTTTTTTTCATGGTGTCTTGGGTTTCAAATAGAGGTTTTGTTTGGAAATTAACTCAATGTTGTGTTGAATACTTGGAATGGTTCTCATCCTTTTGAGCTTTTTTTTTTTTAGTAGAAGAAAGATATGTGATTTAAGTTTTGATTTGCTAAGTGGAGAATGATTGTTTCATTCTATCCAATATCATGAGGTTGATTTTGAATCCTTGGCAAGTAGTGGTTTTGCACTTGATGGTTAAAGGTGAAATATATGAATATCTTCGAAAATATTTTGCATGCTTCGTATTTTGATTCAGAGAATATATGGTTCAAATGCTAACTTGTTTGCTTTATGTTGAATGTTTTATAAGTCGTGTAGAGAAATACATGAGTGTTGGGGAATGCTATGTTTATTCATATATCTTTGATAAATTTTCACAAGTCTAGAAGTGATGGAGAATTATTATGTGTTATACTTATGAGTCTTCACATAAATTGGATTTTGCTTTGTATGGATTTTTATGCTTAAAGGAGCTTCAGTTTGTTTTAAGTTGAGAAGGTTTATGATTGGATTTAGATTTGTTTTATATTGGAAAATTCTACAACAAATTTTGTGAATGTTTTAGAATGAAAGCTTTTGTGAAGTTTTCTTTTTGGAGATTTTGTTTTTACCCCACACCAAATGAAAAAGCACTTGATTGTTTTTGTGTCAAAAAGAGTTTTGGTAGATGATTTGTGTAAGGTTTTATATAACATTTCATTTAGAAGTTTTCATAAGTCATTTTGGGATTTACAATTTTGTGATTTGCTTTTTGCAGCAAGGCTCTTTAGTGTCTTTTCAGAGCAAGAGAATGTTTGGCATGTGGATTGTCTTTATATTGTTCGCATTCTCTTCTAAAGTTGGATTTTGGAAAAATATGGAAAAAGAGAAACTTATTTTTTTTAAGTTTTGGTTTTGGGAACCTGTTCCCCTTTGTCACTTTGAGCTATATTTAGAGGATAGTTTAGTTATTTGAGTTGAGATTTATTCTAGTGATTTGGTTGGAATATGGGGACAGTAAAGGGCATTAAAAACACCTTCTTTTCTATTCATATTATATTGAATTGGGGTGAAGGGTGTTTTAGAGGCATACTTGACTTCAAAGAAGTATGTCCAACAATAAAAATGCATACATTCCTTTTATTTTTGATTTTCATTCTTTTCTCTCTATTGTATTTAGTCATATCTTGCTTTGCTTTTAGTCTTTTAGTCGCTTCTCTATTTATGCTTTAAGATCAAATGCTTGCAAAAATAAGAAAATCCAAAAAGAAGGCAAGCGGCCCATCTAATGTGCATATAATAAAAAGATACGTTCTTATCTAGTTCAAAATTTTCATTTATTGCCATTATTTTCTTTTCATATAGAATGTGCTGTAATACCCATCTTTTTAGTATCTTGCGAGTTGATCTTTGGAGAGCAAAGGAGCATTGGAGCACTAGGTGAAGAGCATGGACAGTCGAATCCGAGCATCAGTCGGCCCCATTTAATCCGATGGGGGCATTACGGGCGAAACCACCAGGTCATAGCCCTCGGTGCTGTAAGTTTCCTTAAACTTAGAAAACCTTTAGGGGCCCTAATGGTTGTACCCTCCGTACCCTTTAGTACCTTGTAGAAGCTTCATTTTATAATTAGGATTATTTTTTTCTTTTATTTTAGATTCATAAACCTATTGACATATATACGAACGTCCTAAGAGTTAGAAAATAAAAACTTCTTTTTGTCTCACAACTTTAGTGACACTTAAGGATAAAAATTAAAGACCGAATCTTAGATAACATAGACTTAGGGTGCATGCTCCTTATAGGATAGAGACATCAAAATAAAAATTTAGTGACATATTTTCCTAGGTTTAGAATGCTTTAATTTACTAATAATCAACCAATCAAATTAACCTTAATTCAATTCTTAACAAATGTATTAAAACACATAATTTTGTATTTAAACCATAACAAATATTTCATAACCACTAAAATGCAAAATCTAAATCATAACTAACTAATCTAATAATCAACTCCTAACCAATTTAAAGTTTAAAAGATGTAGACTAAAATTAGGAGAATAAACCTAAAACTAAAACTCATTAAGATAAGAGACTTCTAAAGATCAAACTTTAGATCAATCTTTTAAAGTAATTAACAAATCTCTTGATAAATAAAACTGCTTAATTCACATTTCTTTTTAATGTATAACAAACTAAAATATTCAACAAAATTGGTTGCCACGGGGTAACCCAGTCCTACGAGGCTATTAAGTTAACCCCAAGGAGGTTGAAATAAACCTCATGGCCTCGGTGAGAAATAAAGGTGGTAATCAATCAATTATTAAAATAAAATATCTAAAATTAATTTTAAAATACTAATATTTAAACTTAAATTAAAATCTCCCTTTTGCCTTTTAACAAATCAATACAAGTAACTTTAATTAAATTATCCTACATAAGACCTATTCAAAATCACACAGTCTACACACACTTAGACTTGCTTGTTAGGACATGACTTCTAGTTCTAGGTTAGGCTGATGTCTTCTTTTCTTTCTGTCTCTGTGTTGTGGCGACTTACATGTGACCCATGTGCTGTTTGTTTTGCTACTTGCTTTAGTTTTTTTTTTTTTAAATGTTTCTATGATGAGTTTAAGTTCCTTTCTGCAGTGTTGTGAGCGATAGAATACCCATATGTTAGGAATGCTTTTTATACTGACATTGTCTTACTGCAGATGGCCATGCTCACACAACGCTAAAGGGGGCTAAAAAATAAATAAAAAATATATAACTGCTTTAGGTGCTTTAGCTACTTAGCTCACAAAAAATAAGAGCATAGCCACATGTGTTTGATTTGAGCAATTTTATTTCATATATATAACTGCTTGGATGATTTTGATTATAACTATTTAGGATAACTTTGCAGGAGAGTCTAAATTTTTATTTTTCTGATATTATGTATTTGGTGTCAAGTGTTAAGAAAATTGTTAAAACAAGACATTTTAAATGTAGAGGGGTCTAAAGGGAAAATGAAATCTCTTATAGAAAATTTCTTTTTCATTTGAATATCCTTTTGGAGGACGTACTACGAGGAACCCGAAGAAAGGAAAATAATCCACAGATGAATCAATAAAGTAAGGATGAAAATCGAGATATAAAATGCCTTATTTTAAAATTTGCATCATTCCTTAGGAGTAGAACCTGGATTGTTGTCAGTGGAGCCCGACAACTACTAATTTTCTACACTTTGTGTTATATATTGTATGACACTTGCCATGGACTCTAGACACTCTTTTCATGATTTTTGTTGTGATTATTATATTTACTTTATTTGCGCAGTATAAATGACATGCTTTTCATAAGTTTCTTTCTTGCATGTGCATGTGCCTTACTCGCTAGACTGTTCTAGGAACAATTTTTTTTACTCGTAATTAATAATAAAATTTTAAGAATTAAGCAACATAGAAATATAACGATTTATGGAATAGCCGGAATCGTCCTGGGTCGCATGTATCTGAATGCATTCTCTCTTCCTTATTTGGACACTTCCCTACCTGCGGGTTGAGTCCGAATAATCTGGCCTATGAGGATGAAGTGCCGGACCTGGGGAAGCTTAGTCTTTCTAAAAAAAATATTTTATAAGCCTTTTTAAAACTTCAAGCATATCTGATTTGAATATTTTGATCAGCATATATTGCATTAGTAACCAATTAAAATTAAAATTTAATTGCATTAATTTTAGGTGCATAACACCATTCATAAGTATGAGGCCACTTAGGAACTTTTCTAGATGTCGGGCCTCAAATTTCAAAGTCTAACTACCCACCCATCTTTCATATGGACCGAAAATCATGAATTTGATACGATTAGGTGGTTTTAGCTGGCTTGCTTTTTCATGCAAGGTATAAGTCCAAGCTGCATTAGTTAGGTCGTAGGTGTTAATATCATGTATACGATATTACATCTCTTATAGATTAGGATCTAAGGTTTGTGGTACAAGTGTACCATTGTATGCCTTATTGGTGGGTAAACCTTCTTTTCTTTTAGAGACTATAAATCCTGCCCATTCGCGTCACACAGATGACGCTACCTCCCTCTTTCCCTCACGTATTATTGAATACAATTATCTTCTTTTTCTCCAGTTTCCTCTTCTTCAGACCGGCCGAGTGTGGATTTGAGCCATGTTTGTTGATTAAATCAAATTGAGCTTATCTTCCCCTTTGATTAGGAAAGCCTAGACAATTCCTTTGCGCTAAACTCATTTGAGAGAATAATATAATATCCTTAATCGAGAGTTTTCTTAGATCAAGGTCTAAGATGTAATTAACTATGGGGGCTTAGGCCCGCTGAAAACTGATCTCCATATCAAATAAATCCTATTCGAGCTGATGTATCAAATAGAGGAAATCTTGTGACTTTGATTATGTTATATATATTATTACACATCAAGGTGTGTAGGTGAAAGCCTCTATCCTCTATAGTTAATCGTATATATAATCTCATCTTTCCTTCCATTGGCCTGCTTATGTCGAGTGCAAAGGTCTACGATCGTTTTATCCTACGGGATAGTGCAGTTGTATTCTTTACATTTGAACCCCAAAAGCATAATCCTTTCGGATACCCACACAAATTCTAAAAAAGTTAAAAAGATTCTTAGATGCTTACCTAGTTCTTATGATGCTAAAATTACTGTCATCACTAAATCTAAAGATCTAAACATTTGCTCTATTGACAATTTTCTTGCGTCACTCATTTCGTACGAGCAAGAGGTGAATCAAAGGCAAAGTAATGCAGGTGAAAAGAAGAAGGAGCGGACGGTGGCATTGAAAGTAAACAACTCAGAAAGTTAAATTTCTGCAGGGGAGGAAGAAGATGACATAGCCTTGATGACCCGATAGTTCAAGAACTTTTTGAAAAGCAAATAAAGGCGCCATCAGAACAACTGGAATAAAGATAAAAGCTCAAGATTTACAAAAATTTCATCGAATATAATCTATTTTGAGTGCAGGAAACTAGGTCACCTGCGAGCTGATTGCCCCAACTTGAGTCAACCAGCTAAGGAAAAAGGTAAGGATAAAGCTAAGTACAAGAAGGGGAAGATGAAGATATAAAAGGCTTTTTGGGCCGACTCTACCCCGGAATCATCTGAAAAAGAAGTAGAGGAGGAGGTAACAAATTTGTGTCTAATGGCTAACGATAATCTTGATTAATTAGATCAAGATGAGGTATGCCAACTTTTATATGAAGATCTAATGCTTATTTCTGAGAAAATCCATGACTTGAATAGGAAATTAAAAAAGATGTATGCTAGTCTAAATATTGATTTTAGTACTTTACAAACTAAGCATGCTAACTTAGTTAAATTTTTTTTTGATTTAAATAGAGATCACATGTCCCTGCTTGATGAGTATGATGCATTAAATAAGAATTATATTGAATTAACAGAAGCACATGAATCCTTAAAAATAATGCATATTGAACTAGAAAAGGATTTTCACAAACTAGACAAACTTGCTTTGGAGTTATATCATAATAAACATCTATTAAAATGGTAAGTTGACGGATAAACATATGAAAACAACACATTTAAAGAAAAAAATAAAAAAAATTCAAAAAAGAAAAGACATAACCCATATTAGCCCAATCTAGCAACCCCCCAGCACTGCATGCATCACACAACTTTAGAAAGAGGCATCACTACTCACATAGGTTAGTGAACCCATTTTTTGGTGTTAGGTGCTTCTCTTGTGGCATGCTAGGTCATATAACCCGCATATGCACGATTCACCATAGGACACACCTAGTATGGAGACTTAAATGCATCCATCACAGCATAACATGCATACATCTCTTTTATGCAAGCATAAGGAGGAACCCAAACTCATTTGGGTTCCCAAATCTAACCCTTGAATGAAATTGTAGGGATGCTCTCATAAAAGACCTAGTGAGAGCATGTGGTACCTAGACAGTGGCTTCTCACGACATATGACTGGAGATATTAAGAAGTTTATTTTACTGGAGACCAGGATCGGAGACAAAGTAACATTGGGAGACAACACCATTATTAAAGTGATAGGCTAAGGTATTATTGGAAATGCTAAGAATTTTTTAATTGAAAATATTTTATTAGTTGATGGTTTGAAGCATAACTTACTAAGCATTGGTAAATTATGTGATAAAGCTTTTGACATTAAATTTCTTTCTGACAAATGCATGATTAGTTTAAATGACAAACTTGTTTTAGAAGGAAAATGAATGAATAATATTTACATGTTAGATCTTGATTGCATTGATAGTTCAAATTCATTTTGCTTAAAAATAATAATAGATGACTTGTGGCTATGACATAGGAGACTATGCCATGCTAGTATGAAAACACATAGAAATATCACTAAGAAAAATCTAGTTAGAGGCGTACCTAAGTTAGACTTCACTAAGGACCATCTATACGATGCATGGAAACTAGGAAAACAAATCAAATCATCCTTTCATTCAATCAAAGATGTGATTACCTCTAGGCCATTAGAAATTATTCACATGGACTTATTTGGACCCGTTAGCACAGCTAGCCTACGTGGGAAAAATTATGGATTTGTGATTGTAGACGACTTCACTATATTCACTTGGGTAAGATTCCTAGCACATAAGAATGAGTCATTTGAGGAATTTAAGATATTCTTCACTTGGATTCAATGAAAATTAAAATGCGAAATCTCAAAATTCCATAGTGATCATGGTGGAGAGTTTCAAAATGAAAGATTTGAATAATTTTGTCAAGAGATAGGAATAGAGCATAATTTCTTAGTCCCTAGAACACCTCAGCAAAATGGAATAGCATAAAGAAAGAATAGAACTTTGGTAGAAGCTATTAGGGCAATGTTAACTGAGTATACCCTTCCTAGATATTTTTTGGGCAGAAGCAGTAAACACGGCGTGTTATATTTTAAATAGGGTGAACATTAAGTCAAAACTGAATAAAACTCCTTATAAACTCCTTAAGGGTCGGACACCAAATCTTTCACACTTACATGTCTTTGGTTGCATGTGCTTTATCTTAATTAATGGCAAACTTCCCTTAGGAAAATTCGATCCCAAGTCTGATGAGGGTGACTTCTTAGGTTATTCATCTGTAGGTAAGGCCTATAAAATCTTTAATAAGAGAACCATAGTAGTAGAAGAGTCCACCCATTTAGTATGATGAATTAGATAAGTCCTCTGAATCTAAAATTGAAGAAGATGAAATAGAGGTAATTTAGGGAGTAGAAACTATGACCATAGGAGAAAGGGTAGAACCTCAAGAAGATTTGCCTAGAGAATAGATATATTCTTCTAGTCATCCTAAAGAGTTAATTGTAGGAGACCCTTCTGAAGGTTTAAGAACTAGGCACGAACTTAGGAAGGAGGTTAGTCATTCAACATTCATTTCTATGATAGAACCCACGAGTATAGATCAAGCTTTAGGAGATGAATTATGGGTCTTAGCAATGCAAGAAGAACTGAATCAATTCACCAGGAATGATATTTGGGAGTTAGTCAAGAGACCTAAAGAACAGAGTTTAGTTGGAACAAAATGGGTCTTTAAAAATAAGGTGAATGACTTAGGAATCATAATAAAAAATAAAGCCAGACTAGTAGCTAAGGGGTACAACCAAATTGAGGAAATAGACTTTGAAGAAACCTTTACTCCGATATCTAGACTAGAAGCCATAAGAGTGCTCTTAGCTTTTGCTTGCTTCAAAAGTTTTAAATTATTTCAAATGGACATAAAGAGTGCTTCTCTGAACGGGGTAATCAAGGAGGATGTTTATGTTGAGCAACACACAGGATTTGAAAGTTCATAATTTCCAAACCTTATATTCAAATTAAAAAGGGCACTTTATGGGTTAAAGCAAACACCTAGATCATGGTGCAAAAGACTTAGCTCATTCTTATTGGATAGAGGATTTGTAAAGGGTTGTGTGGACACTACTCTGTTTTTATAAAAGGTTAAAGATGAAATTCTCATTATTCAAATTTATATGGATAACATTCTATTTGGATCTTCAGATAAAATTTTATGTGATAACTTTTCAATAACAATGAGTAATGAGTTTGAAATGAGCATGATGGGAGAGCTTAATTATTTTCTTGGCGTAAGTATGAAATAAATGGATAATGGAACATTTTTTAGCCAAACGAAATACTTTAAGGATATTATGAAAAAAATATGAAATGAATAGTGCTAAACCCATGAACACTCCAATGAGCTCCCCGATTCAACTAGATAAAGACCCGACTGGAAAATTAGTAGATCAGAAAAAACATAGAGGAATGATTGGATCTCTCCTCTACCTGACTGCTAGTAGACCGGACATAATGTTTAGTGTGTGCCTCTATGCCCATTGTCATGCTGATCCAAAAGAGTCTCGCTTAACTGTGGTCAAGAGAATTCTGAGATATATATTAGGAATCCCAAACTTAAGAATTTGGTATCATAGGCACAACACTTCCTTTGAAATCTTAGGGTACTCAGATTCTAATTTTATAGGATGTACGACAGATAGAAAAAGCACCTATGGTACCTACCAATTTATAGGACAATCTTTAGTTTCTTGGTCCATCAGCAAGCAAAATTTGGTAGCCCTCTCCACGACCGAGGCAGAATATATTACAGTAGAAAGTTGTGTTGCACAAGTACTATGGTTAAAGCAATAAATTCTTGATCTTGGATTACCTGTAGGAACCATCTCAATCATGTGCGACAACACAAGTGCAATTTGCATTTCTAAAAATCCAATTCAACACTCTTAAACAAAATATATAGCATCAAATACCATTTCATAAGAGATCATGTAGCTAAAGGAGATATAAAATTACATCACATAGCTACAGGAGATCAATTGGCAGACATTTTCATGAAACTACTAGCCTACGACACCTTTAGCACTTTGTGGACAAGACTGGGTGTCATAAACATTAATGCATAATTTTAAAAAAAAAATCTTCTTAAGCTGTTCCTGATCTTCACACACTCACTACACCAAACTTGATAATTCATATTTTTCTTATCGTACTGTATTATCCACTATCATACTGACGATATATCAAAACTACACATATCACAACCCAAACTTGAATTTCGTCTCTGTTAATCGTACTGTACGATACACATCGTACTATATGAAACAAGTGGCAGTTCATTGAATTCATTTGGTACAACATTATTGAACATCGTATGATACGATATATCCACTTTGTACTGTACGATCCACGTCAGCAATGGATTGGGACGAATTTAATCAGTTTGGTACGATATTATTCCTGATGGTACTATACAATATCTTTGCTTCGTATTATATGATTCACATCAATGAAATGGATGAGGACAACTTAAAGGTGGTTGGTACGATATAATGAAAATTCATACTGTAAGAACACCTGTTCATACTATATAAAACTTTTGGTCAAAGGTTGCCCCGACGAACCTCGGGACGATCGAAATCCTTCTAATCGTACTGTATGGTTTGACCACCTTTTTTTCGAACTATCGGTCAGAAAATATTATTGCCACATCGTACTCAATATCAGATCGTACTGTATGATATGTCCAAAATTCTATAAATTGGCCATTTTTAAGCTTATTTCACTCATTCATCCTTCTCTCACTTAATATAACCTGCCTTCCTAAAATGTTGAGTTCTAATAAGCGCGGTCGTCAAGTTGTTGGAAGCTCATCTTCCTCGTGCCGATCCAATAATCATTTCCTAATTATCGACAATGAAGTAGCCTATCATAAATATAAGGCCTACAAAATTACACCATCTCGAATGTTAAACCAAGTTGCACTAAATTTTGAGGTAATGCCTCTATTCGCATCCACCACTTTGTAATTCCTTCTGACTATAGCCTTCCCATACAATTCAGAACTCCTTTTTGAATTCCAAGACAACCTCACAATCAACATCGAAAACCATACCCTCACCTTCTTCGTCTGCCATCAAAATGTTAAGATCACTAAAACAGACCTTGCCCAATACATTGGGCTCTCCACTAACGGTCCTAGAGTTAATTCCTTTCTTACCAATGAATTTGATTAGAGTGCTGTGAACTTAGTTCTTAGAAAGTTCACCTTCTACCAACACCAACCACTTGTTCAATCCCTCACCCTAAATGCCAGAATAATTCAACACGTACTTAGAACCTCAATAGTACCCAAAGTTGGTAATCGAGTCCTCATGACCTCAAGTTTATCTATCACTACCTATCTTATCATGTCCAACACCAAATTCAATGAAGCAGATTTGATTATCGATTACTTTCAAAATATGGCTCTTTTTTTGCCTCCCTACCACTCGTAGAAAACAAAATCTAGCCCTTGGCCACCTTATAGGTTACATCCTTTAAAACAAATACCAATTAACCTATCCTGGTGAACCTAATAATTTATCATTCTTCTATACAGATACCTCTTTTTGTATTCTTCTTCATTGGGGGCAAGAGTCTGAAGAACCTGATTTTGATGACGAAGAAGGAGAAGCTGCTCCAGTAGAAGCTACTGTTCGACTAAGACGACATGCACCACCCTGAGCACCTGCACCAGCCTACCCTCACAATGATTTGGTTGAACGATTCGAACAACTCTAGAGTCATCTTGAAACTCACATACAAGAGCAACATCAACGACATGAGGACGACATGCGGTGGCTTGGGGAACATTTTTCCTCAATTGATCAACAATTTGTGTGTCTCCACCACTACTTCCAGCACCCACCACTTCCACCTCCAAGTGATATGGATCCTCTTTTCTGAAGTGTATCTATTTTGTACTACCTTTCTTAGTGTTGTTCATGACTCCTCTTTTTGGTGATGTCAAAAGGGGGAGAAGTTTGTTGCTTATGTTTTACTTATGTTTTAGTTCAATGAAATGCATTTTTCTTTTCATGTTTATTTCTTAATGTTTTTAGAAAAAAACATGCCATGCAAATTTGCTTACAACCAACATTATTTGACATAATCAAAAAGAGGGAGATTATTGCAATTAATGATCCCTAGTCTGAGATTTTGATGTTGAAAAATAATGTCGTCTGAATTACTATTTATTGAATACCTTTGATTTCTGATATTGTCTGTGAGTACTAACATTTCAGGGAGATCACAAGTTACTCAGGACAACAAGAAGACTCAAGACTAGGTAGAGTAGGAGTGTGAGTTTATAACATTGTAAATTTTTAATTATTTTCTTAAGCCTGTCCACAAATTATATATAAAACTGAGCAACCATGCACACACACAGGGGGAGAGAGTTTTAAAATTAAAATATTTATTTCTCTATTGATCGTACTGTATGAGTTTATATCGTATTGTATGATCTGATCTGGCTGAAAAAGCTATCTGTGAATAAGTCATAATGTACGATGTGTTACTAAACAAAAACCCTAGCCGCCAGATTAATTTAAGTCAGTATAATAGTCGTTTATACTGTACAAACCTATTCATACTGTACTATTTATTTTGAATACTTACTTAAGTTAATCCCATGTTTAGTGGATAAATCAAGGATTGATTTTTGATTGGTTATTGTACTGTATGATACCGTTTATATTGTACGATCAACCGAGTCTATTTTTGATCATCGTGAACTTCGTACTGGACGATCCCTTGATTTTGACTAAATATACTGTACGAAATAGGTCATACCCTACGATGTATAGAGACGAGTTTCGATCATCTCGACAATCATCCTATACGAATAGAAGAGTTTTACATATCATACTGTACGAGTTTATATCGTACTGTATGATTATATTCAAAATTTTTTGACCTGTTCGTAAACCTTCGTACTAGGATGAAGCCCATTTTGTACTAATCATACTGTACGATATTAGATCATATTGTATGATAGTAACAGCTAATTTGAGAATTTCAGGGTTTTTTGGAGCCCATTTTAGGTATCAAAACTTCTATTTTTTTAGGGTGACTGTGAGAGAGGAATGTGATTAGAGAGGGATTCCTTGGGAGAGAGATCTTGAGAAGTTTTTAGGGTTTGTGAGAGGAAGGAGATGGTGGGCTTAGTGAGGGAGGAGTGTGAGGGAGATCACACGGTTGCTCCGAGCTTGTTGCACTTTGCTCCTCTTGCGGCCCAAGAAGATCTTATGAGAGGCTCTCTGAGGGGGAGACTATTCTACATCCGTGTCCTCTAAGGTACTCTTCTTTCTCCAAGAGGGAGAAAAATGAGAAGGTACATTGTCGTCACCAGGAGGGTGACAAAGCGCTTGACAGTCCGCCACGCAGGGTTGGTGAAAATGAGGTTTGTAAGGGCTTCTCCGCCTTGTCGTGTGGGCAAAAAGAGAACTATTATTTAGTAGTGAAATTCTCGGAGTGGAGGACTTTGGGGAGGAGTGGACGTAGGTCAAGTGATCGAACCACTATAAAATTTATGGTGTGATTTTTTCTTTACCGCTTTTATTTTCGCTTGCATTTTATTTTCATTATAATTGCTTGGTGAAATCGTTGTGAAATTGGTTGTTGCATTTTGTGTTCAAGTAATCTCTTTTGCATTATTTAAATTTTTCTGTTTTAAATTTAAAAACATAAAAAAAAAAAAATATTAGAACTCATGTTTAGGATTTTTTATTGCAACAATTTTTTGCAATTTACCTCCCCTCTTGGCTCATCTCGTAATTTCAATATTGATGCATGAAATCATTCAATTTGCTTATTAATCTTATATTTAAACCTTAATTTGTTATTATTCATATATCAAATTATTAACTGTCATGAAAGAAAGAAAAGAAAGTGTTTGAATAATTAATTTATTTAATGCCTATGATTATTTTTTTCAAAGAAAATACTTTTCCTTGCTTTCTAACTTTACAGAACAAATTAAATAAGTTTTATAAAGAAGGATTCCTTTTAATCAAATAAAATTTTAAATTAACCAATTCACCCCCTTTTATAGTATTCTACTTATAACAAAGAAGTTCTTTGAGTAAAACTTAATAACTTAAAGTGGATTATTATAACACACTTTGATAATAAGGCTGTGATAGAAGGCTATTTTATATAAGGACCCTGACTTTATGATGTTGAATTATTTGATTTTTTATAAGGTCGGAATATTCTTTAAAAATTTATTTAGGCTTTGTTTGGATTGACTTTCTTACTTCTTCTTAAAGTAGCTTTCTAGTACAAAATTTTTAATTTTTGTTCTAAAAAACTAGCATCTTTAAGAAGTAGTAAGAAAGCCTCCTCATACGAAGCCTTAGTTTACTTAGTATTGAATGTGAAATCTAATAGAAGTAAGTTATACTCACCCTAATAAATTTGTGGAAGAAATTTGTAGGCATTTCATAGAGTGATTGGATTTAAGAAGAATATAAACTACCATAATCTAATTTAAAATTATTGAATTATTTCTTTTGTGCACATAAATCTAATGATTATATGCTTGTATCAATGTGTAAAGCTAGTAAGAAAATTTAGGATAAACTTAGCATCACATGTGTAAGTACAAATGATGTAAAACAATCTTATATAAATAAGGTAAATGTATATTAGATTTATCATGGTTACTACTTCTTTATATTCATTAGGAAATTAATATTCTAATTTATAATGTTGAATAAAGTCCTTAGATGTCTTCCATAATCTAGGAATACTAAGCTTACCATAATTACTAAATCTAAATATTTATATAACTATTTTATTAATCTTCTACTTTGGTCTTTTATTATCCATGAGTAAAGATTAGGCAAAAGATAAATATAGATGAACAAAATAAGAAAAATTAGCCCTAAAGGTCTAAGAATTAAATGTTAACAAGGGAGAGTCATCAAGTGAGGATAATGTAGTACTAATCTCAAGAAAGTTTGGCTCCTTCTTAAAGTACAAAAAGAAAAAAAATTATAAAAAAAGCAAATAAAAAGTTAAATTTATCAACAAATTAATTAAATATTGGTGTTATTTAGTTTATGTGTAATGATTACATAAAATGAGATTGCCATAGTAAGAAAACTAGTAATAAAATAGAAAAGACAGATGACAAGGGTGACACTAAATGACAGGGGAGACACTAAAAGAAGAAACAATAAAAATAAAAAAGGCTTCTTGATAAATTTGGATTTAAAATCTTCTTTTAATGAGCTTGACGAAGAAACAAATGGTTTATGACTAATGGGTTAAGACTTTTAGGAGCACTTAAATCTTATATAGTTATATGATTTATCTTATGATGATTTTTTACTTATATAATTATATGATTTATCTTATGATGATTTATTAAATATGGTAAAAGATAAGCATGAAAATTTCAAAACATTTAATAAAAAATATGTTTATCTAAAAAAAGTCTCATGATAGCTTAGAAAAGTATAATACTATTTTAGTGCATGACTTAGTTCATATTAACAAAGAACTTGTGAATAAAAGTTCATTTTTATACATTTAAAAATGGAAAATGCTTTCCACAATTAAAAGATCTAATTTCTTATGATGGCACAAAAAACCACATAAAAAGTATAAATGTAAATCTCATATTAAATCAACTTTTAAAAGAAAAGATTTTAAAGATAAAAATTCATTTATGCATATTTTGTCTAATGGAAAATATCTTTTTATTGATGACTTAAACTATAATTTGCTTAGCATTAGTCAATTAAAGAAAAGTTTTGACATTAAATTTTTATCTTCATATTGCTTACTTAAATTTAATATAAAATTTCTTTAAAAATTTTTAATAATAATAATATTTATATGATTATTGGTTCTAATAGTATAGTTAAACTAGCTTAATTAATTATATTAAAACTAAGCTTGATGAATCTTGATTGTATCATAGGAGATTTTGTCATGACAACAACAACAACGTCATCATCAAGCCTTTGTTCCACTACGTGAGGTCGGCTACATGAATCATTTTTCTCCGTTTTGTCCAGTTAAAATTCAAATTCTCATTTAAATCTAATAAAGAAACATCATGTCTAATATTTTCTAACCAGATCTTTTTAGGTCTAACTCATCTCTACTTTCCTAACTAGGTCATCGGAAGGCTGCCATTTTATGTGACCAAACCATCTTAGTTGTCTCTCTGTAATATTATCTTCCATTGAAGCTACTCCAACCTTTTCACGTATATGCTCATTTTGTATCCTATCTCTAAGGGTAAAGCCACTCATCCACCTGAGCATCCTTATCTTTGTAAAATTTAACTTAGTATTATGCTTCTCTTTTAATGGCCAACATTCAGCACCATAAACCATTGCAGGTCTCACCACCATCTTATAAAATTTTTCCTTAAGTTTGCGGGGGACTTTTCAATCACACAACAAGTCTGATGCATTCCTCCACTTCAACCATCCAACTTGAATTCTACTGATAATTTCCACATCTATTTCACCATCACTTTAAACAATATATCAAATGAAAGTTTGTTAGGGATGTTAAGCCCTATAGAACTGGCCTGAGGCTAACCAAGAGGAGGGGGGTGAATTGGTATTTAAAAATTTCTTTAAGCAAAAAGAATGATTATCACAAACCAAGTCACCACAAGAACAAGTGCGGAAGAAAATAAATACGGAAGCAGTAAAAACAAGAACTCAAGGATTTATAGTGGTTCAGTAAACTCGACCTACGTCCACTCCCCGGAGGCGCCCTCCGCGTATTGCACTACAAACGTGACTGTCCTTTAGCCCCCACAACTAGGCGAAGAAGCCCTAACAAAAACACCTCCTTTTTGCCACACCCGGCAAGGCAGAGAACCTAACTCCTTTTGCTTCCTCCTGAAGCAGGCAGAGAACCACGATCACTTGCTGAAACTTAACTCTCCCAACCCTTCCAAGGACAAGAGACTCTAGGGAAGAAGAAGTGGAATGATGCTTGGAGCAACCCTTGTGAATCCCCTCACAAGCTCCCCATCACAAGTTCCTCTATATCTATCTCCCTCTCTCTCTCTCTCCTTTAGGTTTTCTCAGGTCAAGACAGCAGCCAAGGATATTCAAAAATGTTGAACTAAAGCTCTTAAATAGAAGAGCCTCAAAGGAGCTCATTAATTATAAGTTGCCGACTTTATCGTCTAGGACGATATAGACATCGTCATGGCCGATTAGTACAAATCTCAGAAGATCGGCCAGAGCATCGCCCTTAATGCAAACTGGATGATTAAAAAATTGGCTTGATCGT